TCGCCGAAATCACCAGAAGTTGCAGAAAACCGAAAATATTCGGTATACAAAAATGTCAGCTTGTCGTGAAAGACCCTGTACTTGTGTGTATTTAGCAGAGTATAGGTATCATGAGTTCATCAATTTGATCAGATATTGAAGGAATATGATGCGATTTTTTCCATTATTATACTTAATCTTATCGGAGGAAAACCAAGTTTATTTGAATTCGGATATTCCGAATATAAATTCGACCGAGTTAAATGAATCATCTGTTTGCATACCTAATTAATATACCTATTCATTTTGGTAGTTAACTTGAAAAATGATCGTGCCTGGATTTTTGCGCCAGACTTAAGATTGTGATCTCAATTTTAATCCAAAGACAAATTATTTGGTGTGTGTGTGTGTGTAATATAGCATGGAATTTTCGTATAAAACATGCTGGTATTCTACTGTTTAACAAGAATCTGATGTACTGATAATACCAATACCTATACTACTTGTGTGATATTTCTACTTTACTATATTAGTGAATTGAAATCCCAATATGAAGACGATAGTGATAGAAATATGTACAAGATGATGAAGACCTCAACTGCGCTAAATTCGCTACTGGGGGAGTGAATGATTTTTCTGAAAATTCGCGAGACATATGAACGTTTAGATGTATTTATGCACTAGCGGGCCGTAAAGTGCACTTTACCGCCCGGTTTTGCGGGCGTTAAGTCGCACTTTACCGCCCGCGGACTCATTATGGCCCACGGGCCGTAAAGTGCACTTTACCGCCCGCTGTTCTCAGTCACCTTATATCCACATATCAATTCATAAAAAATCTATGATCATATTCCTAGATTATAATATATCCAGCGGTATATCAAAAACTTCTTCTTTATCCGAATCCATAGTCTCGATATTATTATCACTAATTTTACTTTTCAGTCAAAGAATGACAATTCAGCTCGTTTATTAGATGTATTGCTATAGACAACAACCATCAGATTGATTGACAACGTCAAAATGAGTTAGGTTTATATACTGGGTATGCATATTGTAAAATTCTGAGGAATGAATCTCTTCTAGAGCTGAAAGAGTTTTACTATTACGATGATTGAAATATTCGTACGATAATTTTCATATGTAAATCATCCATGAACATTACGCTTCTCTCTTGATTACTGAATTTACACGTAACAGATTGAATTCTGGGGAATATTAGTTTATCGAAATCTATAGTCATCACTTATGAGTCAGAAAATAAACCACTAGTGCATAAAATTTTGTATGTATCTCGTGCGTGAAATGCGTTTATGGCCTTCAGCGTGTAATGGCCCTTGGCTAGCGCCATCGGGCCATTATTCACGCCACAGGCCATAAACGCCTACTTTACGCCCTCGATACATAAATAACTATTATGTACATTTGGCGAGCGATATGGAGAATATAACCTTTCAGGGGCAGCTAGAATCAACCCCAACATGTTTTTTTCAAATGTAACCCTATGGCTTGCGACCCCTCATTGGAAAGCTGGCTGAAAGAGGATTCCAGCGTTATATTATTTGAAATTCCAAAGTTGAAGTTACTAGGAGTTAATGGGATGAACATATCAAGTTGGTTCAACAGTGAAAAATACTTCCACCGATTATAAAAACTGACGGGTCTCGGCGAATTTCGTTAGAGGATTCGGTTTTCTTATCATAGGGGAGATCAAGTTTTTGAAAGACCCTGTATACATATTTTGAAGTATCATATGAAATTGGGAAATATCTTTGTGCCTGCTATGTTTGAGTAAGAGAAAAAGAGATTGCAAGACTTTCGAGACAGAAAGAGTGAAGTTGAATGAAAATGTGTAGAAAACAATGATCTTCAAAAAACTCGGTTGTGGTATAGGAGAGCCTCACTATAGCTCCAGATGCATGTGCTTGTTTCTTTGCTTAATTATAATGATCTGAAAAATAACAGTCTTCATATTACACGAAACGAGAATAATGATTCATTACTTACCTAGTTGCACTGAAAAATAAATGGGCCGACAGTTAGTGCGCTTGAGTGTACCTACGAGGGGCTATCGATATCTTAGCTATGCCATTTTCACGTGGACATAACAAATTGTGCTTCTACAAAAATATACGACGAGTCATTTGTAATTTGGGATTTGATAATGGCAATCCTTTTGGTGGAAGTATATTCTGTAGAATGATAATCAGAAATGCTTCAAGAATGGGACCCAAAAAGGATATGTGATATGTTCAGTAGTAATACTATATACGTTCTTCAGAATATTCGGGTTATACATAACATAATTAATTAAAATAATACTACGAAAATAATCTCTCGGTGGTCTTCTCATTTTATGTCGCGGGTGTATACATAATCATATGGGTTTCAAAAAATGGGTTTTCTATTTTTTTTTCAGTACCCATCATAAAAAAATGGTCTAACGATGAAAAAGCATTTAACACCAGTTTCCTGTACTGACTACTATCTACTATCTTATTCTTCTGAATTTGAGGAAGTTGGAGAACTCGTTAATTGTTTAGACACATTGCAGAAAGGAGTTTGCTGAGTCATAACAATAACAGATTCCTATAGTTTCTCATTTTGAAAGCTATCATAGTAGGCTAAAAATTTATAAGAACACCCTCGTAGAGTATCCCATCGTACTGAATTCTCAGTGAAATATTGATTGCTCGCGTATTTCGAATTTACTGCTAAGAATTCGGCCGTTATATGATACCGATCGTTACCGTTCGCTATATATATTATTATATATCCTATAAACTTCATTCATAAAAGATTACTTTGGTATAGAACTGAAACGATAAAAATAATTATAAATGAAGCGAAACCTATATATGAACGAGTAGTTGTTGATAAAAAAATACGCAAAGCTTGTGCTTGATTCTCGGCTTGATTGGAAAAGCTAGATGCCTTTTATACAAGTCAATGCACCCTCCAAAATATAACAACGGCCATAATATTGGTTCACTATTTTATAATTCGTATATCGCTGCTTCAAACTTGGTAATCAACTCCCTAGAAGTCGAAACTTATGCCATTATTTGTAATGATTGATGGATAATGCTGGAAATTACGTATTTGGGCACGCTGATTGATAGGTATATCCTGGTTTGGGATCTATCTAAATTCTTATCCAATTCTCAGCGGAAGGAAAGTAGGTATGCATGAGCGATCAGAAATATCTTCTCTCCATATGAGTAGATGAAATAATCACTTTCTTCTCTCACATATTGAGAGGAAATTTCGGGGTGAAAATTCCGAGGAAAATTCACAACATGATTGAGGGTCTTTAATCTCACCAGATGGACCGAGATGGGCTATTCACAAAATGTCGGGAAACTAAATTTTTGATGGATGCTGTAGTATAACAATAGGAAATTGTAGTGATCTGGTTGACAAAAATGTGTATAGCGAGGTGTATAGCTCTCAATATGAGTTGTTACACCACTTCTCTTTAATCATCAATACCATCGAAATATACATCAATATATTTATCTGAATCATCAAAGGTTTTGCTATATAGTGTTATTTTCGAAAGTAATAGTCTCGAGTTTTCCGGTTATAGGAATCCATCAACACGTTTGGAAAAAGAATTCATGAAAATTCGGATGAACGTTTAGTTTATTTTATAGGCATAATGTTCATAGAATAGTACACCTGATCTCACTGGTATTCATTCTGTGGTTCACTTTCATACAGAAGGACATTCTGCCATTCGTATATTCTTTTTGAAACGATCTCAATACCTGAAGAATCTCACAAATTTGTGAAACGTATCGATAAATCGGCTAACATTATCGTATCCAAATAAACTTCGAAATCGGGAGCTTTCTGTTAGAGTATTATGGCGATATTATGCCTAAAAAACCTTCCTGAACAAATCAATCTGAACTTTGTGACCCTGAGGCAAATGGTGGAATAGAGAGCAACGAAATCTGTCAATTGATCTGAACGATATAACATTCTTATAGGTCTATGATTAAAACCGATGGAAACACTGATCTCAGAAGACTGAACTGCAAGCTGATGGTAGGGAACTACTTTGAATCCCTAGAGTGCTTTGGTGCTAGAGTTACCTTGCTTTGGGTACCACCAGGACACTAGGAAGTTGACGGTAATGAGAAAGCTGACACCCTTGCTAAAAAAAGGAACAAATCTGTATTCACGTAGATGTTGGTATACCACCTAGGAAGGAATGAAGGATATTAAGGCCAGATATGCCTGAACTCGTGCCTGAACCAGCAAACGGTTCTGCTGTGTGGAACCAAACAGCTGAACTTGAAAGACCGAGTGAAAGACTAAGACCTCGACTAAGACTCAACATATTTGGTCCCACCAATTTCAGCAAACACCTTCCTCATTCAGCTAGTCTCTAATGGGACCTTTTTGCAAGCCCCAATGTGTGTAATGAGTGATGTGGTTCGCTTAAGAGAGCTGGCCGAGGAGCTGGCTAACACCCTTTCCAGGTACCATCCATCAGCTCTCTCTCAGAGTATTTCGGTTGTGTTTTGTATTCTCGTTAGAGGCCAACTAAGTAGCATTGGCCCGCTCTCATGCCCAGCTGGTAGTTTTCCACGACCACCAACATACACCGTCCTACTTCTTCTCTGATGATGACACTGTGTGTACTGTGTAAGCTTTGTCACCAACTTCATGCGCCACTTCAGGAGCAGCACTGTTAATTGGAACGCAATAGTGAATCGTGCAGGACTATCCCTGATTTGCCCCAAAATGTCATCGCGTTTGGAGAACACCAATTTCTACCTCAGTGCACCTGCGTATATCGAGCCCTCACCTGCGTATACCGAGTCCTCACCTGCGTATACCGAGTCCTCACCTGCGTATACCGAGCCCTCACCTGCGTATACGAGCCCTCACCTGCGTATACCGAGCCCTCAGCACGTCCTGGCCCTCACCTGCGTACACCGAGCCCTCATCTGCGTATACCGAGCCCTCACCTGCGTATACCGAGCCCTCATCTGCGTATACCGAGCCCTCACCTGCGTATAACGAGCCCTCAGCACGTCCTGGCCCTCCCTGTCGGAGCCCTCGTCGTGTCTCAGCATGGCCCTCTCGACCCTGGCGAGCGTTGGCGAGTCCAGGATGGCGGCGGGCCGCCGGTGATGGCCCCGTGCCGGCGGATCGTTGCACACCTGCAGCTGCATCGGAGGATTTGGAGGGTACTTGAAGAGCACGTAAACTGGACCGGTGCGGCGGTTTGGCGGCGCATGGAACCTGCGCTGCGGATCGCGATCGACTGTGGATCGAGGATCGAGAAAGTGGCGGAGGTGGTTATCAGTTGGGTGCGGTGTTGCCGGGTGTTTCGGCGCGAATGAAGTGAGATACTGAGATCACTGGATTTCTGCTCAGTAAACGAACACATAGGGGAAATAATTCGTGTGGTGACAAATTTCTGTATACACGTGTGTCCCGAAATTATATAGAAAGATTTCAACCACAGATTCTAGGAACAAACAGATTAAAAAATCCTCCGAACAACGAAATCGAAGAAAAATCATATAAACATTAGTCAGAAAAGAGTTACTTATACAGGGTGTTCCTTAAAGACATGCGTATATTTTAGGGGGTGATTTTCTGGATCATTTCAAGAAGAAAACTTCATATGAACGTGTATGTCCTAAGAGTCTCAACTTTTGAGATACAGGGTGATAAAGTTTTGAAAAATATGCAGTTTTTTGATGATAACTAAGACAATATTGTATACAATTGTATGAAATTTGGTACACGTCTTTTATGCATTAAGGTGCATTTTCTGGTGCACAAAAATTTTCATTTTCTCTACCAGTGGCACCGTTAATTACGGGAAAATTATTTTTTATATTTCACTTAAAAGTGAGCAACGAAGAAACATTTTCAAATTCCATACAATGCTATAAAAGGCTATTTAATTATGTACAAAAAAGATCCTCTTGTTGATACTCGACAGAACGCTTCGTTTTCGAAGAAAAAAAACGGAAAAACGAGACCAGACTTCAAATTTTGATGTTTGAGTACTCCATTCAGGACATCCATTACTGGATAACCACCGTATGTAACATTATGAAATTTGTGTACCGATTCAGTCACATAGCAGACTGAATTTTGCCATCACGAAAAGCTATACATGGTGGACAAAAAAATTATCAATGCATATTTTCAACATTGACACCATGTATCTCAAAAGTTAGGACGTTTACGACATATGTTGATATGAAGTTTCATTCTTGAAATGGGTCAAAGAATGGGCCCCTTGAATTATGAAGAGATTATGAAAATGGTAAATTCAAGATTAATTAATGAAAACATCCTGTAACTCATTTGATTGCCAACGTCACCAATTGTCATTGAAAACTGAAAAGCTTCAAGACATATTATACGACTTCGCTATTGAAATAATCTCTTCACATGTTGAAAACGGGAGCAGAATCGGTCCCGAAACGTCCAAAGATAAGTGAAAATTTGATATTTTTTCTATATACCTTTATTTCTCTTCTCCGAAATTTTTTTCAATACAAATTGTTACTGACAAGCTAGTGAATTTTTCTTTTAGGCTCTCTGATAGGAAAATTCTTTAAACGCAGTGACATTTTGGGGCAAATCATCTGATTTGTCCTTACTACACGTATATTGAAATGATATTCATATTTTTATTTTATAGAAACGAGGAGAGAAAATCCAAAAAAATTTGGAATAATGAAGTAGCATCAAACATTTTTTCAACTCCTAGTAAGTCAAGCACAAACTAGGTAATTCTTCCACTTCAAATACTATTTTGTTTTTGTATTGTAGACCTCTCAATTAGGCTGAAGATGGTTTTCTATAAGACCGAAACATGTCCAACAACATCATCATCAAAATTTGTGGAGATGGCTTCGCGAGCATTCCTTCCTTCCTTCCTGTGAAATATTTCACTCCACTTTGAGCAATATGGACTTCTACCAAAGATTTACAAACATTCATACTTCTTATGGTAGATTCCGGTTATTATCGGGTGTTTGACAACCCTGGTGGATACGACGGTGTTGCCGTGTTGCCTATAATATCTAAGGAAACTGGCGACGGGTTTTCAATATTTTTATCAGATAAGGTGGTTGATTGCTAATGCTAAAAAGATAAATATTAGTGTTTGGATGACTCTTATTATCGGTAGGTAATAAATAAAGTGATAATATTATGATATCCAGGAAGTCCTCGAGAATATATTTTTTCAGGCAAACTGGGTTTGTTTTCATGGCGAATAACAGAACTACGTACCAATGAAAATTCCTGAAAATTCCTTAAGAAAATTCCTTAAGAAAATTCCTATTCAACGCACTCTCCTTTTTTAATTTGATTGATAAAGTTTTGAATTATTTGCACAAATTCACAAAATATGCATTCTTGTTTCCTATACGACAGATTTTTTCTAAGTCAGTTGGACCGCCTCGAGCGAGGGTAGACCTAGACCGTTTAAACTCCATACGGACATCCCTCGACATATGAAAAATTAATCATACCATTCAAATGTGTTTTCATTGCAAATTATGAACCATACGCTGTTGACCGAGCTGTTGACAGTTGTGGTTAAAAATTACGGTCTGATTTTGATGTTGATGACGTCACTTCTTAACATTGCTACGCTAACCACGCAAGAACCCGGTCAAACTATGCACGTTGCCAAGTCGCAAGCTATGGAGTTTTTTGGTAATTTTCGTACGCGAGTATTATCATTCGAAATATCACTATAATATAATGCACTAATGCAGTATTCCGAGCAGTATTCACTAGTTGACAATTAAGTAATTAAGAAGGGAGTCCATGCCAAACTTGCCCCCAGAGCTGTCTGAAAAACCGAAACAATCTGGTTAACAATTCTAATAATGGATAAATAGACATGAGTATAGGAAATAACACGGGAATTCAATTTGTAATTTGTTAGAACCTACGAACGAATATCGGAGGTTAGAACACTAAAAGTGAATATGAATATTCCTCCTGCCTGTCCTGCGATGCCATTCCTATTTCAATATTTGTATCTGTTGATATGTGATGTTATTTGATTTGATTTTCAATACATTTTTCTTCATTTTGTTATTGTTTGCCGAATGATGCATACATTTGTTAAAACCAACGTAAGTTACGTATTGCTGTTCTTTTTCCTAAATATTTTGACATTGACAGCTAATATTAAGTATAATTCACCTGAAACAAATACATATAAAATTTTGTAGGAACTTCAAAAAGACCAATAATTCATGTTCATATATGTTCATATATCGATTTTGTCATGTTCATAATTTATCTGAGAATATTCCTTTCCTTTATTGTTTTCAACTCCGAAGAAATTGATAGAAATGAATGACTTTTCACCAAAGTCACTCTTTGTTCCCTACAAGTGAGCGTTTTCAAATTTGAAATCCGAGGTTTCGCCTTCCAGAAAACGTCATCAACTCATTTTTTTCTAATAAGGACCTGGATTCTTCATTCGAATTTCTCACACTCCAAGATATCTCTAAAGCAATATATGGGCTACCACAAATTTCTATTTTCGAAAGTTCTGTTGACGAAAATTGACAGTAGTTTCGTATTGAATATAAAAAAAATGAGAAATGATGTCATTTTCTATGAACGAATTATTCGAAAATAGAAATTTGTGATGGCTCATAACTTTTGTGAAAAAATATACCTTTAAGTTGGTGAAGGTCTCTGAAAGATGAAAAGAAGGATTTCAAATTTGAAAACGCAAACTTTTAGGGAAGAAAAACTGGCCACGGTGTAGCGTCATCCATTCCGATTAGTTTCTCCCAAACCTTGAAAAACATTCATGAAAAAGTTTCAGGAAATTTCGGTTCTTTCCATATATCTCCGTCATCTCTGAAAGTATTCGGAATCTTCCAACTTTCGAAACGGCATTTCGTTTGTTACATAAAATTGCGTAACTTTGCCATGATTTAATCGACCCTGTATCTCTTACGGTTTTGAGAGATCCCATCGCAATGATGATTCTCGAATTCCAGCCTCCCATACCCGTACATACTCAATCTCCCCATCAGCTTCAATATATTTAAATTCAACAATGTATATTCAATGAATCATCATGATTCAATTTATTCTCCATTTTATTTCGCGAAATAAATGGATATCAAAATCTAGATAATTCCAGGAATCAGGAAGGAATCAAATGAGAAACATATTATCTGAATGAGTGCGATTAATATCGTAAATATAATATACATATACCGTTAAATGAAATCTAAAACATATGATACAGTTTTTTCTTATTATCTGAGATAAGATAGGGTGAACAATAAATTCAGACATATTCCAATATAGTTAGATTTCATGGGAAAAGTAGAGCAATCTGTAGATCTTTTAGAAATTCGATGGTATACAGGGATATCCAAATCAAGTATTTGTCATTGGAAACTCCATTTTTGAGTCAATAATCAGAACAATATTCTTTAAATGGAAATTCCGAGAGATAAAAAATATACAGTGTGACACAATTAATTAACATGAAGAAACCCATTTACTTCAGTCATTTTTGAAGGCTGAGATATGATTTCTAGTACAGACGTAGACCTTCATGTGCCACACTTTTTGAAATACTCAGCCACAGGGTGATCTCGCAGAAAGGGCAAAGACGATATTTTGCTAGGTTAATCGTATTTCAGTAGCCTGGCCCCTGATTTATAAATTCCACAACGCATTTCTCAACAAATACAATTGGCATTTATAGATTTTCCTGAATTTGACACTCGCCAATCTTGGCATATTAATTTGTGTTATTAATTTTGTTAGGACTATCAAGTATTATTTTTGGAATAAGCATTGTTTCGAAGCACGAGGATCAATCTGTTCAAGGTATTCCGATTCTACCGATGGGTGATAACCTGGATTAAGAATATTTGGCACTGCTATTATAGCTGGAGTTCTGTTATGTGGGGCAGCAATAGCTTTCAGAGTTCAAGATTGGACCTCTTTGAATATAGGTAGGTATTGAAAATCTAAAGGTTTCCTTCAAACTATATACCTTTATGTCCATGAGAACAATCCCAAACACCAACAAATTTTCAAATATACTCGTATATGGATTTGAATCTTTGCAACCATCTGCTGCAGCTACCCTACCACATATTTAAAAGCAGCGAATAGGTATTTTACATGATCTCCCTAGAAAAACAGTTTGCATCAATTACTTCATCATCATTGACGATACCAGATATTTTTATAATCCCCATAATATCTGTGCAATCCACTTCCAACTATATAGTCACCTCAATTTGATAGCATTGTTATTTTTGTAATATCTGTTTGCCTTATATAAAATGGAATAATATTCGCG